TTCAACACATTTTTAATTGGATATTCCTTTTTAGTTAATAATCCATCAATAAGTTTAAACAATGGCTGGCTTTATAAAAAAAACATGTTTACATGTTTCTAAACTATTACTCTTACACTAGTGCTATGTCCCCCTGAAATTCTGTGACTTTAAACTGGCAACGAAGGGAGGAGTTGGTGTAACCAAGCCAGAGTAAGGAAGTGAGAAAATACTTTGGAAACTACTTCAAAAACTGCAGGAAACTACTTTAGAAACTGCTGGATTTAAATCTTTTGAAGGATTTTACTATTTCTATCACTAAGCTGATTCTGTTGAACTTTCCTGGTTTTAGAACAGAGATTGTTTAAAGAACAACTAAGATGATCAATGGCCTGGAGATGAAAACATACGAAGAACAGCTATGGGACTTGGGTTTGGCTAGTCTGAAGAAAAGAAGAAATAGGGGAGACATGATAGCAGTATTCCAGTATCTGAGGGGCTGCCAGAAGGCAGAGGGGATCGAGTTGTTCACCAAAGCACCAGAGGGAAGGATGAGAAACAATGGTTGGAAACTGATCAAAGAGAGAAACAATCTGGAATTGGGGAGAAACTTCCTGACAGTGAGGACAATCAACCAATGGAACAGCTTACCCCAGAAATCATGGGCGCTCCATCACTGGAGATTTTTAAGAAGAGACTAGACATTCACCTGTCTGAGATGGTATAGGTTCTCCTGCTTGAGCAGGGGGGTGGACTAGAAGACTCCAAGGTCTCTTCCAGCTCTATTGTATTCTATTCTATTCATCAAATTTGGGTATGACACTCCAGAAGATAGTTCAAGATCCAGAAGGATCTTGAACACTAGGCCCTATCCAACAAAATGAAATTGAATGGTGGGAAAGGTAAGATTGTACACCTAGACAAAAGAAAAACAAAAACAAATGCACAGGTATAAACTAGGTGAATCCTGGCTCAACAGCAGTAACTGTGAGAGGGGATCTAAGAGCCCTAGTGGACAAGTACTTAAACATGAGCCAGCAGTGTGCTGCAACCACCAAAAAGCCAATACAGTCCTAGGCTGTATTAACAGAGGGAGAAAATTATGTGAAGTGTTATACCACTTTATAGTGCCTTGGCAAGTCCACACTTGGAATATTGCAACCAAAAATGGATGTTGAGATTCTAGAAAGAGTTCAGAGAAGAACAACAAAGATGATTAGAGGACTGGAGGCTAAAACATGAAGAACAGGTGCAGGAATTGGGTATATCTAGTCTAAGAAAAAAGGACTAGGGGTCACATGCCAAATGCCTGGTCAACCCTGGTGAAGAATGGGTATGAAACTCAAACAGCTTAAAGTGCCCATAGCTTTCTGCCAGCTGGATGGCTCAGTGGTGGGAGGGTGGTGGTGGCAACATTTGTTACCAACCAATAGAGATGAGGATGGGAACACATATGGAAACCCTGAGCTTCATCGTAGCCCCTGGAATGGAAAGGCCCCTTGTGTTAGGACTGTCTTGGCTCCAGAAATGGAACCCCTCTGTGAAATGAAGGAGAGGGCTGTTAAAAATCCGGCTTGACAGCTGTGAAGGGGGAGGGGGAAAAGGATGTCAAAAATCTGCCCCAAAGCTGCAGCAGGAAAAACCAAAAAGGGAGGTGGGAGTAGCTGCCAAAGGTCGGTCCCAGGATAACCCTTGGATCCCCAAGTACTGAGACTTACGGGATGTACTCCCACCCCACCGGCCAACTGACAGTGCCATAGAAATCCTACCGGGGACCAAACTACCCAAACCTAAATTGTATTCCAAGACCCCTAGGGAATTGGAGGAATTGCAGACTTTTATAGACAAAAACCTGAAGTTGGATTCATCCAACCGCCAGACCGAGGGTGGCTGCCCCAATACTGTTTAGAATAGAATAGAATAGAATAGAATCTGGAAGGGACCGTACAGGTCTTCTAGTCCAGCCCCCTGCTCAAGCAGGAGAACCTATACCATCTCAGACAAGTCTAGTCTCTTCTTAAAAATCTCCAATGAAGGAGTGCCCACGATTTCTGGAGGCAAGCTGTTGCACTGGTTAATTGTCCTCACTGTCAGGAAGTTTCTCCTTAATTCCAGGTGCTTCTCTCTTTGATCAGTTTCCAACCATTATTTCTCATCCTTCCCTCTGGTGCTTTGGTGAATAATGTGACCCCCTCTTCTTTGTGGCAGCCCCTCAAATACTGGAATACTGCTATCACGTCTCCCTATTTCTTCTTTTCTTTAGACTAGCCAAACCCAAATCCCGTAGCCATTCTTCGTATGTTTTAGTCTCCAGGCCTCTGATCATCTTAGTTGTCCTTCTCTGAATTTTTTCCAAACTCTCAACATCTTTTTTGTGATATGACCAAAATTGGTTGCAGTATTCCAGGTGTGGTCTTACTAGGGTTTTATAAAGTGATACTAATGCTTTGCATGATCTTGATTCTATGTCTCTGTTTATATAACCCAGGATTGTATTAGTTTTTTTGGCTGCTGCTGCACACTGCTGGCTCATAGTGAAGTGATCGTCCACTAGGACTCCAAGATCCTTCTCACAGTTACTTTTTTGGTATGTTGGGCTATAGTTTCTTTTTGTGTGAAGACTGATGCAAAGTTTGAGTTAAGCAGCTCTGCTTTCTCCCTGTTGCCTGTTATTTCCTTGCCATCTTCTCTTTAGTGGACTTACAGTTTCCTTAACTTTTTTCTTGTTGTTAATGTGTTGGAAGAAGCTTTTTTTTATTATCCTTGATTTCTGTTGCAAGTCTTTGTTCGTTCTGAGCCTTTGCTTTCCTGACTTCATCTTTGCATGTTCTGGCTGTCTGCTAATAATCGGCCTTAGTTATGTGCCCCTCTTTTCAGTTTTTGTATTTGTCCTTTTAGTCTTTCAGTTTGTCAGAGAGATCCTTTTGCAGTCATGCTGGTTTCCTTCTTGAATTTCTTGTTTTTCTTTTTCAGTAGTATTGTGCTGGTTTGGGCTTTTATGATCACATTTTTCAGAGTTTCCCACTCTTCTTGGGTTGTTTTCCCCTTTAGGATTTTCATCCATGGGATCTTTCCTAGGTTCTCTCTGAGTTTGTTAAAGTCAGCTCTTTTGAAGTTTAAGACACTGGTTGGATTGTTTTCTATTGCTAGTGTTTGCATTATGTTAAATTCCAGTATGACGCGGTCACTTTCACCCAAGGTTCCGGCAATTTCAATTCCCTCTATCGCTTCTTCTCTGTTAGTAAGGATTAAGTCCAGTACAGCTTTACGTCTAGTTCCCACCTCCACCTTTTGGGTGACAAAATTGTCAACTAGGTTGGTTTATGGAGAAGGACAGGTCCCTTTGTCTATGTCTTGACTACCCCCAGTTCATCCCCTCATTTGTCCAGATAGTCCTCCCCATCACCAACCTGCTAAAGACAAAAGGGAAAGAGAAACCCAAACCCAGCCAGCTGCTTAAATGGACTATGAAATGCCAGGCTGCATTTGAAAAGCTTAAGTACTTGTTTGCAGTGGAGCCAGTGCTGAAACACCCAGACTCCAACACCCCCTTCATCATTCAGGCTGATGCCAGTGATGTTGCAGTGGGCGCATATTGAACCTGTGCTTCCAGCCCTGCCATAGATCTTGACTGGCTTCCATATACAATTTAAAAGGCTGATTTTGAGGGGTCTTTGGTGCTCTCTGAGCTTGGTTGTTTTCTTACAGATATTCCATTACCAAAAATAGGTAACATCATCAGTGCTCAAGGCCACTTTTGATCTAGAAAGTCATTTATGGCTTGGCTCTTGGATAACCATGAGATTTTTATTCTAGCTAGAATCAGCTTGACCTAATAAGGAGAAATTGCTTACAGTTTACTGTAATCCCCCACTTCTGGGAGGTATCTAATGAAACTATCTCTGGTAATTCCAGTTATCTTCATTATTGGAGGCTTGTCCTATTATAAAGTCAAATGATAGGATGGATAACTGAATATTTTTCCAAACACTTCAACAAAAGTTGTCAGGTTCCTAAAGATAGGCATATGCAAGACTGCAGTTTTAATATTAATCAGAATACAGAATGCAGAATAATAGAGTTGGAATGGACCTTGGAGGTCTTCTGGTTGAACCCTCTGCTCAAGTAGGAGACCTTATACCATTTCAGACAAATTGCTGTCCAATCTCTTCTTTAAAAAGTCCAGTGATGGGCCCCTACAACTTCTGGAGGCAAGCCGTTGCACCCAGTGTTCTAATTGTCAGGAAATTTCTCCTTAATTGGAGAAATGGATCTATCTCTCTTTGTTAAGCTTCCATCAGATGATTCTTGTCTTGCCCACTGGAAAAAAAGTTGACCCCCTCCTCTCTTTGACAGTCACTTAAATATTGGAAGACTGCTGCATTACCCCTAATCTTTCTCTTCGTTAGATTACACATACCCAGTTCCTACAACCGTTCATCATACAGTTTAACCTCCAGGTCCCCTAATCATATTTGTTGTCCTCTGCACTCTTTCTAGGATCAAACGGCAATATAAGGAGCAATAGAATATAAAGCATCGCAAGTCATTTCAGCTAAATACTCTGTGAAAAGTAAATTGGACTAAAATGATTGGCCATTTCCCTTATGTGATAGAAATATTGTCCAATAAAGAGCGAAAATAACTAGAAAGGCGGCGTGTCCCTTGTTTTAATGATTCGTTGTTTTAAAGAGATAGACAGGTCGCTTACCAAATTAAAAAAACAAAACAAAGAAGTGAAAGGACGAAGGCAGGGTTATACTATTCCTTCTGCTCTTAAAGCTACTATTGGCTGAGAGTCTGTCGAATGACACGAAATTTGTCCTATTAAAATGCTGACTGGAAACAGACATAATAGATAAATGTCATCCTATCATTATGGGATCTTGCTAAATTCTCCTTCACTATTGGCTTTGAAAGGGAAATGACAGCTTTTATTAGCAATAGTAATGGTGATTGACAGATTTAAGGCGGGCCGAAGAGCAAACGGGCGTCGCTGAGACCGGATGAGAAGAATCCAAAGGGGAAGTTTGTGGGTTATTGCCTGGGGCTGTGAACGGAAGCGGAGGAGTGTGGGGGGATTTATCCCCTCCAGGTCGTTGCTATGGGCAACCGAGGAATGGAAGAGTTGATTCCGCTGGTGAACAAGCTACAAGATGCTTTCAGCTCTATTGGACAAAGCTGCCACCTCGACCTGCCACAAATCGCTGTGGTGGGTGGTCAGAGCGCGGGTAAGAGCTCGGTCCTCGAGAACTTCGTTGGCCGGTAAGTCGAGCTGTTGTAACGAAGGGAAGGCGGACAGAGGAGGGGGCAAAATGCCGAGGGAGTCTTTTGACCCGGCCGGCTTACAGTAGCCGACGGAGTTTGCGGAAATGCCTTCTGAGAACGTCACGCACGTCTCATGCGATGATTTCGGAAATAGCCACCATTAGAGCGGTGGCCTTGGTGTAACCGCTCTCTGTGAATAGCTTCCTTCGCCAAAACATATCTTATTCCATGAACGTTCCGGTTACGCTAGTTGCGTTAGCTGAGCAAGAAGCGCACAGAGATCCCAGAAGTAGCGGTCTCGAACAGAGGTTTGTTTCTGTGTGGGTTGTCAGGTGTGATTTGTGAATGGTGAGATGGGGTGATGTTTTCTTTCCCAGCCTTATTGACAGGTTACGGGGAGGCAGCTGTCCGAGGAGTCCCCGCCGTCTGTCTTTTGGGGTAAATGATAGGGTGTTCAAAGAGATAAAATAACCTTTATTGACATTTTTTACTGTAGGCACAACGATACACATCAAAAATGAAATTTAGTTACCCGCTCTCAAACTGAACACATGACACATACCTAAGCATACTATATACAGCATATACATACTATATACAACGTATGTATAGACCTACACCCCTACATATACATAACATGAATATTAAACACTCCATCTTGAATGTATAATGGAAGGAAGCTTGAAAGTTCACAAGGTTTATATTGTATGGAACGAAACTGGCTGAATCTGGATGTTCTGCTTTGGATACCACGGAGCCTCGTCTTGCTCCTTCCATCCTTATCTTGTTCAGAAAATGCCACTTTATCGTTTCTTGGAAATTTTGGCCTGGTTCTCATGTTATATGTTTATCGGCAGTTGTGCAGCTCATTGTATGAATAATTTATGAAAATTGAAATTATGAAAATTTCATGTGGACATTTTAAAGTTTCTCTTTTGCAAAATATCTCCTGGTATATTAACGTTCTTTATGGTCCCACTTTTTTTAGTACTTTGCCGCTTGCAGAAACTGTCTAGTGACTAATTTATGAATTATTTCTATTACTTCCTAAACAGAAGACCCTTCAAGAAAGTTGCATGTATAGAGAAAGCATTACTTCCTTTTATATGCAGATGGTGCATCAATCTTAGAATAACGATTTAAAAATCTTATTAACCTATACTTGTGTACAAATAGTCCTCTACTTAGGACAGTTGAAGTTCTGATGGACTTGGTTTCGGTTCCAATGGCTGTCCCCCCCCCCCGCTTTTGTGGGATTGCATTTTGGGTGTTTGGCAGCCAATCACATTTTGCAGCTTCCCATGGTCACATGACCATTAGTCAAGACATTTTTAGCTGAAAACTGGCATTCACTTCTGGTTTCCTGCAAAAAATGCCCATTGGGTACAATTGGTTTGCTTAACTACCATGGCATTTCTTAATTACTACGAAAGGTCTTTAAATGGGTGTGGTCATGTGATGACCCACTTAATCAACTTGAATTATGACCATAATTTAGCTTAATTATGGTCATAAGCCGAGGGCTACCTATAGCAGGGGTCCCCAACCCACGGTCCATGGACCAGCACCGGGCCTTTGCATGTCAGAACTGGGTCATGCAAACAAGCAAAGCCCCATCTGTGGGATGCAGGCAGCATGTGAAATTACACCTCCACGGAAAAACCTCTCTGCATGGAACCAGTCCCTAGTGCCCAAAAGGTTGGGGGATGCTGACCTATAGTATTTTTTCCCCAAAGTTAGCCATAGTTGTCATTACAAACTACTGATCCCTGTTGTGCTAGAATAATGGCCCTGTCACAGCTTGTATCATAATTCTATTTAAAAGTTGCTTATGTGCAGTGTAGAATTGCTGTATTTCTTTTCTTTTTCTTTTCAGGATCAGAGAAATGTATTTTTAAAAATACAATTTTATGTATTTTCTGTACATAAATGGTATTGTCTATAGATTTTTATCCCACCTTTATTACTTTATATTTTGTGTATGTGGAGTACTATCCTGTCTCTCATATACTGACAGAATCTTGACCAATTAACTTCATAGTTAACTTCATGTAACGTTAAACAAATTAAAGCAAATATTCTAGTAAAACATTAATTATTTCTGTTAAAGACATTTGTGGGTTGGGCAAAAGGGCAGCCACAAGAGAAATAGCTTCGTTTTGCTGTCTTAGACAGATCTGCGCAGTGCTGCAGAAGCTTCTGAACAACACAGAAAGTTTCTGCAGCATTGTTCAGACCTCTTTAAGGCAGCAAAATGAAACAGGGCTCTGCAGTTGGTGGCAAACCTGTATGCGGCCACCATTTTGTCCACCCATTTGTGGGTGGGGACAAAATGGCAGCCGCCTTATAAATGGCCAGATAAACTGCTTCATTTTGTTGCCTTAGAGAGGGCCGCTTTCAAAACTGCCATGTAGTCATGCAAAAAAGGAACTCATTCCAGCACTCTGGAAGACCTCGGAGCTCTTCAAAAAAATAAGTGAGAAGATTGTTTGGCCTAGTGGAATAGGAATCAGGTCTAAGTCCTAGAAGGCCAATGGGAGTGAGAAAAGGCCTTTTGGGACCGAAGAGGTGGGAAGCATGAAGCATCTAGGGGATGGAGGCTTGGGAGGGCCATGACAGGCAGGCCTGAGCCTGTACTAGACCTTCAATGGCTTCACTCACCTAGGAGGGATCCCATGCTCCACTTAAAACCCGCAAATTCATCTTACATTTCATTGGGGAGAGCAGAGATGGAAGGGGGGGTCATTAATGACTGGTGCAACAAATGATCATAATGGGCAGGATCCGTTACAGTCATATCTCGACCACCTGTATTCTGTATAATTTAATGCCAAAAGAAGCAAAATTCTAGGTTCAGAGAAGATATAGTGATTTCTACTCATCTTGACGTTGTACTTCTGAAAATGCAGCCTATAACTGCATTTGCTTTTTTTATAGTTGCATCACATTGTTGGCTCATGTTCAGCTTGTGATCTGCTCAAACATCCATAGAATCATAGGTTTGGAAGTGACCTCGGAGGTCTTCGTCCAACCCCTTGCTCAAGGCAGGAATTTTATATCATCTCAATCAAATGGTTATTTTATTGTATTTTTGAAAACCTTGACTGATGGAGTATCTACAACCCTAGAAGGCAAGCTATTCCATTGATTGATTGCTCTCACTGTCAGAAAATTTCTCCTTAACTTCTAGGTTGTACTTCTCTTGGACAAATTTTCACCCATTACGTCTTGCCGTTCTCTCTGGTGCCCTAGAGAATAAGTCAATAAGTCAAGTCTTCTTTGTGACAATACCTCAAATGCTGAAAGACAGCTATCATGTCCACCCTAATCCTTCTCTTTGATAAGCTAGATCAGTGGTGGCGAACATATGGCACGCGTGCCAGAGGTGGTACTCGGAGCCCTCTCTGTGGGCATGCGTGCCGTTGCCCCAGCCCCGCCTCACCCTGCAACCCCCTCCTCACCAGCAGCCTGCCCGGAGCAGAGGCTGCCCCAAGCGCGACCCACACGGAGCAGCGCAGCCAAGCACATGGCAGCCGGGGAGCAGAGGCAAGACTGCCCTCTTGCTCCATGACGTGGAGATGATGCTGCAGGGTGCAGGCGGAGGACGTGGCCGCCATGGCGCTGCAAGGCTGCCTGGGCAATCTGTGGTGAGTGGCCCTATGGGCGGGTGGAGCAGGGGGCAGAGCAGAGGGCGGAGCAGGGGCAGAGCAGGGGCGGGCCAGGGGGCGGACCAATTTTTGGGCACTCGGTCTATAAAAGGTTCGCCATCACTGGGCTAGATATAATTAGCGCCCTCAACCGTTTATTAATACAATTTAGCCTCCAAACCCTTTTTCATCTTGTTCTTTTCTGCAAACTTTCCAGCATCTTGTATCGTGGTGATCAGAACTGGATGCAGTATACATTTGAAAATGTACCTATTTTACATATATAATGTCTAAGTAATTCCTAAAGTGTGCAAAATGTTATTGAAAATGTATTTGAGAGAATCTGTATTAAGAGAAAATTAAAAGAAAATGTAATAATTAAAGGAATTTTTTTTAAAGGATGTTTATAAAAGAAAAAAAATATTCTGTAAGGGTAGTTTGGAGGGAAGGATCTAAATTTAATACTGAAGTTCAAAGCCTATATATTAAGAAGTTAAAGAAAAAGATGTATTAGAAATTTTTGATTTTAGAAATGTGTTCAAAGAAAAGTTTAGCATTTTAAAAAGGTGAAAAAAGAAAAGTATTTTTTTCTCTGTAAGATCAAAGAATCTGAAAGAACACAGTGAACCTTGTTAATAAAAATGGTGATAGTTCAAAAAGATTATTAGGTGCAAATAGAAATACACACTATTTCCATAGCAAGGAACATAAAGCAGGAATGGTTAAATTGATCATTTTATTCAAAGAGGAGAATATATTTAAGTACGTTTTTCAGTTGGATATCAATCTCTATTTTGTGCTTGTGATGAAAAAAATGAAATTTTGACTTTGGTTTCATCAATTAGATAGATCTGTCATTATAAAAATGGCTAGTTATATACTAATGTATAAAAGCAAAAAGTTGAGGCTGGAGTGTTTTTATCTTATAATGTGCTAAAAAGAGTTGGAAGTCAACACCTTTTCTTTCTTTTTTCCCTTGTACCTCACATTTTCTTTTTCCCCTGTCTTTTTCCTTCCCCTTAATTTCTTATGTCCTCAGGTGCTTTGAAGAATAGGTTGATCTCTTATCTGTGACAACCTCTCAGATATTGGAAGACTGCTATCATGTTGACTCTAGTCCTCTTCACTAGACTGGACATATGCAGTTCCTGCAAATTTTAGCCTCTATTCCTTAATAATCTTTGTTGTTCTTTTCTGCATTCTTTCTAGAATCTCAACATCTTTTTGTATCATGGTGAGAAAAACTGGACACAGTATTCGAAATGTAGTCTTACCAAGGCAGTAAAAAATAGTACTGACATTTCTTGTGACTGTGATACAATCCCTCTGTTGATGCAGCCTAGGACTGCA